GGCGTGGTGGCCGCCGCCGCCGCCGCCGCCGTAGATCTCGCTGAGCAGGCGCTTCATCTCCTCCAGCGAGTTGCTGAGCATCAGGATGTAGTTGCGCGCCAGGAGGAGGGTGGCGATCTTGGAGAGCTTGCGCACCGAAGGGCCGTGCGCGTAAGGCATGACCTCCCGCAGCCCGTCCATGGCGATGTTCAGGTCGTGCATCCGCTTGCGCTCCCGGCTGTTGATCTTCAGGCGCAGCTGCTGCAGCTCCGGCTCCGTCATTTGCTTCTTGTCCTTCTTGGACGCCGAGGAAGAGGAGGAGGAGGAAGAGGAAGAGGTGGAGGAGGACGAGGAGGACGAGGGCGACTTGAAGGCCAGCTTGTCCACCACCACCACCCCGGCGGCGCTCATGGCGCTGCGCAGCTCCGCGCTCAGCTCGGCCGGGCAATCGCTGGGCGTCGAACTGGAGACGGTGCCGCCCGCCGAGAAGCCCCCGCCGCCGCTCTTGCTCCTGGCCGACACGAAGAGCTCATCGGGCTCCGGAGACGAAGGGCGGCTCGACACCAGGCTCGCGTCCGAGTCCATGCTGGCCCGCCGCCCCGGCCGCCTGCGGAGGAAAGAGAGAGAGAGAGAGACAAGCGGCGTCAGGCAAGGGAGCAGCCCAGGCGGCTGGCGGCAGAGCTGCCTAAGGGTCGCGGTCGGGGCTTTCAGTCGAGGGGTGAAGCCCCGAATCAGAACCCGAAGAGGTGAGCCCGGATTCCCGCGGGCTTGCTGGCAAACGCGGGGAAAGCCAGGCGCCGGGACTGAAAATGTGCAGCTCGTCTGAATGACGAAAAGTTAAAGCCCGGGGACTTCAGGGGGATTTAGAGTTCAGGTTTAATTTAGTTGGCTTGTGGCCAATATGTTGGCTAAAAAGCATTTGTTTGTTTTTTTAAATCGCCATTATTTGTAAAGCCTGAAAGAACGACCTGTTCTTGTATTCTGGCTCTCAGATCTGTGTGTCTAAATCACGAACCATAAATATCCACGAAAATAACCTCCTTCCCGCCCCATTTCCAGCATTATGGAGAAAACCTAATTAAAAAAATAAAAATAAAACCGAGAAACCGGGCCCTCGTCGTGATTCTGCTGCAGTTTAATGGACGGTTCCAAGAAACGGTTCAACTGCTTTGAGGATCACACGGCAGTTTCCTATTTGAAATCTCAGTCCACCTTCTTGTTTTCTCCTTTAGAGCCAGCAGAAACTTAAAATAAATAAATAACCCGGCCTTGCTTTGCCTTTCTCCCGCCAAACACCAGAGCGCCACCCCTACCCCAATTCACCCCAATTAGAGGCGAAAGGGCCAGCCTGAAAACAAACTTTTGACAACGTTTTTTTTTTTTACATGGTTGGACAAAACTGTGCTGGATTTTCCTCCTCGAACTGCGTTTATGTCCCGTTTAAATTTGCTCTCTATTGTTTTCCATCGATTTAGGCCCACCTACTTTCACAGATCGTGTCAAAGGATTCTTTTCAAAATAAAAATCAAACGACCCCAATAAACCGCCGGGCGGTTTAGGATTTACTCCCTGTTCTAGGGGAGTTTTATCACTGGCCAGCCCTCCTCAGCCAACTACGCTGGCGCCCTCTCTACTCGTCTCTCGTCCGAAATAACACTCTGCCAGGCGGCTGCAAAGAAACCCTTCTCCTTAGCACTCCTCCAAACAAGATTCTTTCTCCAAAGAGTTCTCTAGAACAAGGGGAATATTTCCTCGTTGCATATTAGATCTCCTCTTGACTCTTCTTTTTCTCAGTGCCCTGAATCAAATGAAGTGGTGCCGGAACTACAACACCCATCCTCTTTCTCGGGGAACAGAGAAAGATGATGAGGGATAGGTCTGGCGAGCGCTACCAGGAAGTCTGGCGAGGAAAGTAAAAAGCAAAACCACCCACCGCTCCCGCCTGACTCTGGGACCGGCTAAGCTCATCTGCGCAGCCCGGGGATGAGGTTTGAGTGTGCGGCGCGACAGTGAAGCGGCCGGCAAGTGAATGGCACGGAGGACTTACAGTTCGGAGCGGGTCTTCCCTGGCCAGCCGTATCCGCTCCAGTTGAGCTGCGGGCTGCCCCCAAATACCCTTAATAAGAAGCACCTTTCCGCCTCCGGCGCGCCTTTTTATAGCCACGTTGCTCAGCCGAGCCGCTAAAGGACAATGAATATTGTCCTGGACGGGCGGCTGCACCAATGAGCGAACTGCTGCTGGGCTGAGGGGAGCGGGGGGGGGGGGGGGGGGGGGGGGGGGGGGGGG